GCAGGAATTCATCCTCCTGACCAAAACTCAGCAGAGGCCGACGATATTGGCTTGGAGATTGAAAGAAAGGACATCACGTAACTTCGCCATACTAAGTTTTTAACTGCCAGATAACATGTCTTGCCATCAATCAACATCAATGAAAGCTTTTGATCAAACAATCTATCCACTAGCTAGGGCCACCCTCCCCCCACACACTTGTTAAACTTTGAGTGCAAGTTAAAAAAAGGTGGGATCTCTTAAGCTAAAGGGTGATAAAAACACTTTAAACCGAGTGAATTGTAAAATTCAAATTGAGGAAAGAAAAATCTGAATTAGCAGGTCAAACCAGACCGGTTTAGTTCGAAGTTTGAAACTGTAATCCAACATATTTACTGGATACAATAAATTTCAAAATACAAAATATTCAGCTATGTAGCTGACCATTTTTTTCCTAAGAAAAACCAAATTGATACATTTTAAAATCAAAATCATTGGAAAAAACCCAAAAAAATGCCAGATTGATGATTTTTTTTTAATTTAAAAACACTTAAAAAATCCGAATTGCAGTACCAAACGGTGCAAATTCATTAAAAGCCCCAATACATGACCAGATCAGTAATTTACAGGGAGTTCACGTGAAGTTAGGGCAACTAATTAATTGCTTAAAAAACAGAGTTTACTCATCCAAGAGTCTCCAATGGATTAAAGGGTAAATTAGTAGCACCAGAAATCTCTTCTCTCTGTGCATCACCCAAAAATATTTGACATTATTACACTACGTACCAGTTAACCAGGTTGTCATAGTGTACCAAATCAAAGGTCATCAAGTCCCAAACGAAGCTATAAAATTGGACACAAATCCAGTCTCGGATTAGTTTGCCTCACAAGAAACAGAATCAGAGCAGACTCTCTCTTTGAGAGGTAAAACTATCGCATCTTACATGGCATCTAGAGACGTACCTTATCCTAGGTCAAATGCGCAGCAACAAACCAGGACTTGCCTCTGTTCACCCACCACACATCCTGGATCATTCAGGTGCAGCCTGCACAGGAATTTCCGTAAGATGTCTTCAGGATCAAGAATCGGTCGTGTTGATTCGAATCATAATTGGGACTTGACTGTGGTTGCCAAAGCGAATCCGTTCAAGGCAATCTTGTTACAGATTATCAAGCCATCCAGTCATGACCTTCACAGGAGGAGGGATTTCCAGCCCAGGCCTACCAGGTTTTGCCTAATGAATGCTAATAGAAATGGGGTTGCTGTTTCTTGATCTCGGTTTTATTAGATCCAAGAATTTTTTTAATTTTTTTTTAATATTGTTTGAATTAGATCATGAGATTCTGCAGTTTTTCTGCCGAGTACATGCGAGGATTTATGTACATAAGGTTACTTAATTGACTTAATTGTGTTTCAAAGAGTCTGATGCATCAGGATTCTATTAGTTAAATGGGGTTTTAAGATTCGTCCATAAATAATACAAATACATAAGCATGTGTATGTGTTTACACAAAGCATTTCTTTAATGTGAAAGCAGGTGAGAAGCATTTGCAGAATCTTGGCTTCATTATCATTTCTTAAATGATGAACGGAAGTTCTCAAGAATACAAATCTTGCAGAACATCATACACACGCACGCACTCGCCTCACATTAACCTAATTAAGGATTTTTCTAAACTTGTTACCCTAATTAAGGATTTTTCTGAACTGAACCTTCAGGTCACAAGGCAGTAAATTCTTAAAATCCACAAATTCTCTTATGCTCAGGCTGAATTCAGGAAATTAAATGAGGATGTTAATGGAAAAAGGAAATTAAAAAAAAAAAAAAAAGATGTCTATCTGAGTGATCTCACACTTTATACTTTCTCCAAGACAAAGACAATTCTGAATAAGAAAGCAACTTGATTTACAAAATCCTTTTACCTCACTCATAATTAAGGCGTGATCAGATGTCCGTCAAGACAGGTTACATTTGTTAATTATTTTTCTAATGAAAATTAATTAAGATGCTAAGCTAGATTTTAAATGAGACATTTTCATGATAATATAAATATTGTTCTACAAGGCCGTCATGTCATACTTGATAGCTACAAATGCGCAATGAAAGTCCAATAAATTTAGATTCCATATGGCAGCAATTTTTCACCAACCTGCACTTCACATCTAAAAGCATTATTTGATACTTCTAGAAATAAAAAGCAGGTTGCACCGCATAGTGAGTTCTTACAGTGTCAGATAAAATGGTACTTCTATCACCCATTTGGAATAGAAGAAACTACATGGGAATTCGAGGGTTCAAAAGGGGCAAATTTCAGAGCAACATTGAGGAGTCCAATGCTACTACGCTTTCACTTTCGTCAATCAAGTTGTTTTGATCTATATGAACTCGTTCTTCGGAAGTGTTATTCTGGTTTGATTTCCTATGCTATCATGGTCGATCATTCTCCATCCCCTTTAGGTGTTTTTCCATGTTAGTGCAGGAATTGACCGGCGAAATCAAAGCTGTCGTTCCCTTAAAAAACAGCGTTTTTGCCGCCAACAATGGTTGTAAAAATGCAGCTGCCAGATTGAATTGAACAAGGTCCTACACGTGGCTCAAAAAGAGCAGCAAAGACTAATTCTCTTCGCCAAGAGATCCGCAGAGTCAAAAGTCAAGAATTATAAAAAAAAGATTTGACCATTTGACCTGTTAAAGAGGAAGCATCGAGTGACAAAACAAGACATGAAAAGGAGGGCCCTCAACCTCCAAAATCTGTGGGCTTCCACACCACGTGGAAGAAAATTGCTCTTCCTAATAATGTAGGTTCAGTAGTTTTCAAAACCAGCAGCTACTTAGTTACCGCAAATTTTAATTTTCCTGCCCGGAACCGCTGTACAGGTGGATGCTTGTGTGCCGTTTGCGTGGAGCTTAAACTACCATTTCAAGACAATTTACTTGTCATCCCCATGGAAGTTAAAGAACAACTTGGTGTCTTCAAGTTGTTAAAAGCATTGTCTTTAATGACTTTGTCACCGAAGATTTTTTCTTGAGTAGCAAGTGCTATTCGTTAACTCAATTGGTTTTTTCAATATTGTCAAAATGGGATCGGATCGGCATAAATAATATCTTTATACTTTACACTGTAAATAAAAATCTAATAAATACATGAACAACATATTTGATTATTAATTAATGATGTATATATTAAACATTATTTCCAATTTGTCTTAACACATGCTATGAAGAACAAAGGTCTCCGAATGACAAGGAATTAAGAAGCAATATTCATACTAGAATTATCGCAATAAATCTTCAAGTTGAAGCCATGCTCTTGCCGTCTTAGTTCGCTTTTCATTTTTATTACCTGAAGTTAAATATTCCAGTTCAAATGATTAAAGTAATATAGCATGATTAGAGAATCTTGTCAATAAAGGACGTTCTGAACGCGTTTTTGAAATGTAGAATCTTGCATTCATTTATGGATACTTTTTCACACAGGTTGAATCGGAAGGGAAAGAAAAGTATATCAGAGAAACAGGTGCGCGTATATGGTTCCTCTCATCAAGTCTTTAATGGCTCTAGTGGTCTAATTTGGCAGATATTTTCGAACTAGCATGTTGGGACAACGAAAAAGGAAGTCCAGCGGGGGTGGCTAGCTGTGGGGCTGTAGTTTTATGGCTGGTCCTTCCGGTCCACCCACGACAGATGGTTCCATATTGACATTGTATATAGTCAAAGACTCGCATGCCATAAGCTATTTTTTCGTTTAATGGCAATTTCTTGCCCCTTTACTATTACGATTGTAGCACATGGAAGCATGAACTATCAATTTGATCAATATTATCCTTCAACTATTACGTTTTGGACAAATATTGTCTCTCCCCTTCAAGAAGAAGTATTTTTTTAGTATTTTGTACTGAATCTTTCACATTTTTAATAAAAAATCCAATAGTTTCAACCGTAATTTTAAAAGAAAATTGATTGCAAGAAGCATTTTTTTAATTTTTTCTTAGATATTGAATACGAAAAATAGAAAATAATTTGGAATGAACCCAGATTTGGTTGGAAGCTCCGAAAATTTTCAGAAGTATCTAGGAGAATTTTGATTTGAAGATGCCAAAGTATGAGTTTATTTTTATATGATTTTTCTCCATGATAATGGCGAGTTCAAACGAAGGGACAGTAGTTATCCAAAACACGATAGTATAGGTCTCGATAAACCACAATCCTAATAGTTAAAGGGTAAAAAATACAATCAAATTAATGTTTTTATAAATTGAAATCATATAGAGCAGCAGTACTAATTTTATTTTATTTTATTTTTTCATTCGTATCGATTCTTTTCATATAAAAAGTTATAATTGTGCTTCTCTAAATTAACCTCAGGAAATTCCTTCATATCTTCTGGATATGGTCCCCAGTTGTGGGATGGAGATAAGTTTTACTTAAAGTTTCCTTCTCCATGAAGTTCCTCTTCCTTTTGATGATTCCTTCAACATTATTCTTTTGACGTAATCATGGAGAATGACATGCATCATAAGTTCAAGAGATAAGATTTTCTTTCACTTTAATCCTTGATTGGATCTTTCTAACCATCTAATCCAACCAAAGCGACGGATGCAACCAAATGGTCCAGATAGATCCCACAATACATATATATAACGAAGGTTCTTCACTGAAATCTTAAGGCTTAAGCTCTTCAAAGTTGTCTTTAAATTACAGTAAATATTCGCTATAATTATATCAATATTATATAATGACTCGAAGAACTAAGAAAGACTTGTGTTGTTGAGGGGACGATCAACGATCAAAATTAATCCGTGTAAGAAAACAAGAAATTTTGTTTTTGGACATCAAGTAACGAGGTTGAAGTGCTCGAATAGTGATGAAATAAGAGTTTTTTTGTTAACTAAAAAGTTGTAAACAATTAATTTTAATTACATGAAAAACTTTCAATAGGAATTCCTTCATTCTATCACAAATAGCAAGAATTTTTTTTTTTTTTTGTTCTTGTTTCAATAATCTAATGATCAAAGGACCAAGAACATTGAATACAAGACGGGCATTATATTAAACTCGATAATATTATTTGTTATTTTGAAGGTTATAAATATATACTATATCTTTCGCTTTCGTTTTATACCGTACGTATATAATATGCTACGCAGACCGACATGGAGGTTGGGACATCTTCTTACCAGGATATATGCATGCATACCATAAAGTTCAGAGAACAAATTAAAAAAAAAAAAAGAAGCATGGCATGCATTGAGTGATGATCAGCACTGTCCTCCATTTCCATTAGTATATTATGTTATTGATTCCGCCAAGCAAGCAAAGATGACAAGAAAAATCTTCTCTGTGAGTCTGTGACTCCACAATTAACATTTTTTTTAAAAAAAACCATTGATTAGTTCTAATTAATTAGAATTTCCCAGTGCCAACTTTTTACTCAAAATTGGCATATCCATGCTATTTCTTCTTGATGTGTTTTTATATATAGAGCTTGTGTGTCTTCTTATTTCAAAAATATTCTTTAAAAAAATAAAAAAATATTTTTTTTTGTTTTAAATTCATTTTTATAATAATTTTAAAAAAGAATCACCAAAGCAATTATATAACAAGAGAATCAAACGTAAATCCTCAGCTGCTGCGGCCAGAAAACAAAGCAAAAGGCCTGGTGGTTGGGATTTCCAAAATCATCAGGGTGCCTAACACGTTCTGCCCTTCTATGAGTTTAATTAATTAAAATACACACCACGTAGCTGCCAAGATCATGATTTTAAATTTTTAATACAAGAAAAGAATACTATATAAAAAAAATAATAAGAGAGGCCTTAGTTTGTTGACACGAGTCTGGTCAGTGAAGCCCCCAGTTCCATGAGCTGATTCCACGTGGGTGATACGTGTCGTATTGTTTGTCGTCCTCCTCTTTTCCTCCGGCGAGATAACCCTTCTTTATTCATATAATAAGAAATTTACCCATGTACGCAAGCAACCTTTGAACGCTTTGCAGTTTTAGAAAGGTACCGTCAGCCATTTATTAATTAAAAAAAAAACACCAATAGAGAAGGGGAGCTGCTGGTTTTTTAATTTTAAATTAGAACAATAAACTTCAAGTTTGAAGTACTGTATGAAAAGGAAGTCGATGGAAACACACCCAGTATGCTGCAAAGAAGGGAATGCAAGCAAATGACCGTACTTTTGTTGAAGGGACTAAAGGAGCACAGGTAGATGACATTCTAGTTGGAGGGGCTAAGAAATCTACCCAGTGTGTATCAGAGAAGGGAGCA